AATGACTATATCAAATGGACACTTCGCAGTTTAGAAGTAATTAATGTCTGTAATTTCGAGAGTTCAATTCTAAGTTTATAGTGGAGTAACTATTGGAATTAATAGAATTAATTAATTAATTAAAGTGTTTAATTAATTATTAATTTTATTAGAGCTCGGGATTATAGGTCCATTAGTCCCCGCATTATCCTTGTAATTCTACCAGACACAAAGGGCAAAATGGAAATTTTAGAATTACAGAATTCTAAAATTGAATACTCGAAAAATAATTAATTGAGAATTAATTATTATTTAAATAATGTGATTATTTAAATTTGAATTTGAACACATCTAGTTTTATCCATTTAAACTTATTTGATAAGTTGTTCAATTTAGAATTCAAATTAATTTAAGTTTGACTTAAATTCGAATTTGAATTTGAATTAAAATTGGACTACTAGATAAAGGATAAAATCTCTTCCTTCCCTATCTGTGATTGGCGCCACACACAGGGTAAAACCCTAGTGATGTGGCCGGCCACTTAAAGGATAAAGGGAAGGGATTTTTTGTTCCAAAATTTAAATTGGAGATAGAGATTTGCTTATGTTTTGAAGTTTGACTTCTACTCTTTAAATATGAGAATGATAGAAAATTGTGGACACAATTTTTGAAACATTTTTTCTGCCCTAAATTGTTTGGTGGCCGAAATTCATAGAGGAAAAAAAGAGGGCAAATATTTTTCTCCAAAAAATTCCACATCGTGCATGCGTTGGTGTTTGTAGAAATTGGAGTGTTTGAGAAACCTGTTTTGTCTCACGTGTGCCCACACACACGTCTACGTGGAATCAAGAAATTGACGTGGAAGACTTTGGTATTCTAAACACAAACTTGGAGTAAGGACTGTTCGTGGTCAAAGAACTCAAGTTATCATCCGAGTCGGCTTCCAGGTATTTTTCCGGATTGAGTTCTTGATGTAAATTAATGTGATTAATTTATTCGTGCATAAATTAATATAATCTATAGAGTATCTCAAAAGTTTTTCTGAAATTTTTGTTATACACGATACGCATCTCCCCGCCACGCTTCCGCACCCGAATTCGATTCGGGAACCAACAATACCCATATAGGAACCAAGACAAAAAGTAAAAAACTCTGAGTTTCCAAACAAACACTGAAACTAGGAGTAGTCTTGTTGCTATAGGCTTTAACAAGGAGCGTTGTAGAAAAACGTTAGCAAAAATGGTGATCGTAGATGAGCTTTCATTTAGGTTTGTTGAAGGTGAAGGATTTAAGAATTTTTTTCCAAGTGACGAAGCCTAGGTTCTCTATCCCCTCCTGTGTTACGATTGCTAAGGACATTCACCAACTTTTTTTGGAAGAGAAGAAGAAACTAAGGGCTGAATTTAGTAAGGGCAGTCAAAGGATTTGCCTAACAACTAATTGTTGGACATCCTTGTAAAATATTAATTATTTGTGTCTAACTGCACACTACGTTGATAGTGAGTGGACTTTGCAAAAAAGGATTATAAACTTTTGTCAAATTTCAAGTCACAAGGGAGAGAGTGTTGGTAAAATCATTGAGTCATGTTTGCATGCTTGGGGTATTGAGAGAGTCTTCACTATGATTGTTGATAATGCCTCCTCAAATGACTCCATGATTACCTATTTGAGAAGAAAGATTAAGGGGTGGAAAGGAGTTATTTTAGGTGGAGAATTTCTGCATGTTAGGTGTTGTGCCCATATAGTGAACTTGATTATCAATGAATGTTTAAAAGACCTACATGATTCCATAGCTACCATTCGTAACACTGTGAGGTATGTGAGGTCTTCTCCGGCTAGGTTGCTAAAATTCAAGTCATGTGTGGAGCGAGAGAAAATTGAATACAAAGGTCTCGTATGCTTAGATGTCCCTACTAGATGGAACTCCACCTATATGATGTTAGATGCAGCCATTAAGTTTCAAAAAGCTTTTGAAAGATATGAAGAGGAAGATGACAAGCTTGTGTCTTATTTTCGGGAAGATGAGGAGGGGAAGCGGAAGATTGGCCCGCCACTTGATGATGATTGGGAGAATGTTAAGGTGTTTGTGAAATTTCTAAAGACTTTTTATGATATAACTTTGAAGTTTAGCGCCACTTTGAATGTCACTTCAAATTCTTACTTTCATGAGCTTTGTGAGATGCAAAACCAACTATCTGAATTAAGCAAACAAGAGGATTCAATGCTTTCATCCATGGTTGTGAGTATGAAAAAGAAGTATGACGAGTATTGGGGGATGTTGAGAATATAAATTGTCTTCTCTTTATGTCTGTTGTACTTGATCCTAGGTACAAAATGGATTATTTGACATATTGTTTCTATAGTGTATGATTCTTGCACTTCTGGAACATTAGCAAAGAATGTGAAGGATACTATGTACCGGCTACATGAGGTTTATAGTGGGGACAATAGTGAATCTGTGGCTAATGAAAGTAGTGGGGAGGCAGCAACAACAAGTACAACGGAGGCAAAAACGGAAGTAGAAGGAAAAGGGTGTTTGTGGAGCTCCTTTGTTAGGAAAATGAAGGAGAAGAATGTAAATGCGTACAAAAATGATGTGGACAGATACCTGACAAACCCTATGGAGGATCTAACTCGGTCAAATTTTGATGTTTTAGATTGGTGGAAGAATAATGCAACTAATTACAAGGTTCTCTCACTAGTTGCAAGAGACATTCTTGCCATTCCTGTTTCAACGGTAGCCTCAGAATCTGCTTTTAGTACCAGAGGCCGCATCCTCGATTCCTTTAGGAGTTCATTGAGCCCCAAGATGGTGGAGGCATTGATTTGTACACAAAATTGGCTGCATAGTCGTCAGTACATCAATCTTATTGACGTGGAAGACTCTAATGAATATGAAGATATTGAGTCAGGTAATCTTTTTATGTTTTACTTATTTTTTTTTAATTTTATTTCATCTCCTTGTTGTTTATTTTGTTGTTCTAAACTTGATTCTGATGATTTTTTTTGTTATGTTTTCTTCTCAAGATTTGTCAAATTCTGTTGCAAGTTGCGAGGGGCAAGTTGGGAATGAAGGTGCTATTATTCTGGATTAAACAGTTTAGAGTGGACTAAATTTCCTATTTTGTGACTTTTTTTATATGGACTGTTTATTCTGGATTAAACTGTTTATTTTATATGGACTAATTTGCTTCTCAAGATTTTATTTCATCTCCTTATTGTTTATGCGTTTGGACTGTTAAAAGAGGTATGAAGTCATAGATTAAAATTGGTTTTCACCAACCCGAGTAACCCGACCCTACCCGAGGTCACCCGAAAGGTTGTGGGTTTGTAGATTTAAGAGAGTGTCGCGGCCCAAAATTTTCTCAACCCGCACTGGTCGGGTAGGCTCAATTTTTCGGCTCAACCCGACCCTACCCGGCCGATTTACACCCCTAACTGTAACGTCCCTTCTAAACAAGCACTTAAAAACACATTCGTTTGTGAAAAACGTTAATTAAAATAAATAATATTACTTAATAAATAAATAATATCTATCACAAATATAATTTTTGAATATAATTCTTAATATTATAAATTTTATTTCTTAAGATTCTTAACTTGTTATGAGATTCTAAACCATTCTTGCTCAGTTAATTGGAACTTCTATTTTAGCACTTGTTTACATCATGAGAATTATATAAGCGCAAGTAAATTATAAATAATTTCCACTTTTAAATAATTTTCTTTAACATTTAAAGTCTTCTTGTATAACAATAATCTTGTGTTATTAGAATCTCTTTCATATGGTCCCTGTCATAAAATCTCTTATTCCTTTAGGATTTGGCCTTTATCGTATTTCAATCAATTCATAATAGATACAAGATTCACATCATTTTTAGAATTATTATCTAATTGCATAAAATTCACATCATACTTAGAAATACTTTCTAATTCTCATAAAAATATGTCAACAATAACATATATAAATTAAAAATATATTATTTTCTAAATGATGTAGTGAAAAGTCTACTTAGCAAAGAAAGCTCTTTCTCCATCTCTCTCTTAACATTTTTTTTTGTTTGCTCTCTTCCATTTCGAGCCTATAAGTTGGCTTGATATTCTATGAGGCATCACATATACATAAAGCACCATATACACGTACGGCAATCAGTGAGATGATTAATCATTATATTAACTTACATATTGAATGCCACCTCTTGCTTATTGATGACTAAGGCTGATAGAACTTCTCTTACAAATCCACCTCATGCTTAACATCTCCAATTATCCATATTTAATTTTCCAATCCTTAACACTTTCCAATTAATACTACCTATATAATATAAATATCCTCACTATGACCACAGTAGATACTAATTCATGTGACACCTAATTAATTTTACTAAGTTTGTAGCTCAAAATTTCTAGATGTTACATGTACCAAAGCTGAGAGAGGAACAAAATAATTAAAAATGCATGGAATATGATGGATTAAGGAATCTATTATTATAGAGAGACAGAATTTTTACAACAAACAATCCATTTCAGTTAATTTGGCTTGTCTAGAACAATAAAACTTATTCAAAATTATATCAACGTTCATGGTTTTTGAACTTCAAAGAGTAAAGTAAAAGAATTATTCTTTCATAGAAAAGATCTAGACAAGGGAGGCCCCTTCTTCTCATCCAAGATCGCTAAAGCTTGAGACTTTTTAACGGCCTCTTCTTCCATTTCCACAAGTTGACGGCAAAAAGTTTCTGCATCCCTCGCCTCTTCCTTCAACGAGAAGCGATACTCCCTCCACTGGTACTGAGCAACACCATCCTTTACTACTGGACTAGAACCCTTTCCCAACACATCGAATCCCTTTTGATCGGTAGATAACACGTATGCATCCTTCACAAAAACAAGTAAATAATTACCTCATAAAAAACAATTTATGAATTCTATATTCTGCTATGGCATTGTGTGTTTCCGAATTTATCATGTAGAACATAGAAGATGTTATCAAACAATAATCATACATCTCAATTATTCATGCACACCTCACCTTTATATTCGCATTCAAGTGCATGAAGCAAAAAAGCATCAGTGCACGACGCCTTGCTTCACTTTGATTAATTCCATCAATTATCTTTGCAGAAAAAGGTGCTGTGAATGAGAGACATGATAGATTAGTGAAACTATATGCACACTCTAATGTTTACAACACAGAAAACCATACCTTAGAAAGTATATGAGGCCGGTTTTACCTAATTGATCTGCCTTAAAGGTATGCATATCTTCCAAATCAACTTTGTGGGTGCCTCCATTGGTATCGATGAATACACATGATCTGCAAAATAAGAATCTCGAGTTAAAGGTCCTTGGCATTGAAGTTGCGAATTGGTTTTCTTTGAAAACATAAGATCTGTATAGTAGATCTAGATTTAAGCCCTCTCTCATCAAAGACTCAAGGATATAATGAGGAATGAGAAGAGCTACATTCCACTGCTCCTATGTTAACAATGCTCAACTATCAATAAATTCTTTCCAGTAAACAAAGGAAAAAAGGGGAAAAAAAAAAGAAAAAGAAAAAGAAAAGTAAAGTCCGAAGCCAATAGTTCAGGACACTGTCCAGAGTGAGAGTTTCTTGCCTTGGGTTGAACTTATAAACCGTATACTTTGCATCCTCTTCCAAGAGATCCTTAAGGTTTTTGCTTCGTGAGGTACTAGAATTATCTGAAGAACTTAATACACCAGAGACTGTGTAACTAGACTCGCCAATTGCCTTCTTCTCAGAGAGTATGACTTCTTCAAGGCTTTCTGCCGCAGACTGAGGGACAAGGAAAATATGGTCAAATTTGTAAAATTATTGAAAAACCATGGTGCTTGAACAATTTGAGTTTAAAGTGTCAATTTACAGTGTGTTGATCAAGCTGCAATTTGACACTTGAAGTAAGAAAGTTGACAGAAAAAATTCTTAAATATTTCTGAATCCACCAATACCAAGTTGCCACTTTTATCAAATATACACGCGTGAATTTATGCGTGTGCGCACGCATGAAGTGGACCGTGGTTTAGTATTTTCGACAGTTTATGACATCAAATCAGTTTAGATTAAGGTATACATGACTTCCAAACAATCAATGAATATTAAAAAGTGGCAATAAAGAACCTTTTGATCTTTATAAGGCACAACATCCCCAGTTAGAGCAACTCGAGCTGGTAGCTGCAGGACAAAAACAAATCATTTTAGGTGGTTGTAGTAAAGTATACAGCTCAATTGATTAAATAAATCCCTCATTTTATATCTTCAAATCGTAAACTTCAAACATTCAAGCTCAACAAATTACACCATAAAGCAATCAAGCTAAAAACAAAACAAACGATAGAGCAAGAAGTGGTCACCAACCTTTTCTATCGATTTAAGTAATGCTGCCAGTCGTCCAGGGAAGGGACTGGCCACGGAAAATGAACCACGTTCGTCGATGATTGTGTTCTGGATGAAGAAAGAGAAGGAAATAAGATGTCAGACTATCACTAGACAATCAACTGGAGCATATTTTATTTCATGTTATAAGGTAGTCTCCAATAAAGATTCTTAACTCTCCTCACAACAGCTACATGCCTATTAAGTTCACGGTAAACTTGGTGGGGGCATAAACATGTTGGGAATTGCATATCCTCATGAAAACACCATCAATGTTCATACATCTCCAAAAAGAAATGGTGGGATATCAACAAATTTTCTTTTTTCATAACTCAATTTGCATTATTTTTCTCCAAAACAATAAATTCTTTTAAGAAACCAAAAAAAAAAAAAAATACTAACAAAATAAAACAAAGCACACACACACATAACATATCATAACATATATGGACATACCACATTATGCAAGTCCTTCTCGGGTATCCAAATATATGGCTTGCCTTTCCTGAGTATGTAGTTAACCTTTGATGTGTGGATGTTCCCCTTGCTGAGACATCCATACAGAAAAATGAGCCACACACACACACAAATAAATAAATAAATAGATAAAATAAAAAACGAATACATCAGCTTAAAGGAAACACCAGAAATCTCAATCATCACAAGGACGTCATCAAAGCAAAATTTATGAATGCTTGTATTCAGCAGACATGGTTCCTTAACTCTACCAACCGGGATTGCTCTATAATCTATATAACAGCCATGCAGTTCTATTCAGTTTCATATTGTTATTCAAGTTTAACTTCAAAAGAAGGGAGTTTTAACGAAATGGGTACCTTCCTTTAGCGTCAGCTTTGATGGTGTTAAGGTGGCCTTGCCAGTTTGACGCTAATATACCCTGAAAAAAAGTACAAAACTTGAGCGAAAACTATCTTTGTGCGACCAAATAATGAAGTGCCGTTATAAGAAAAAGGCTGCAACAATTCGTATTGAGAGAGAGAGACGACCTTGCACTTTTGAGCAAAGGTCAAGACCGTCGCCTTGTTCCCCTTCATGATTCACTTCGTTTTCGCAATGTCGCACACCAAATGCTCGACGAAATTACCTTTTTTAGCGTCCGTGAGCGTCTTTAATTAGGGCCAAGTGGTCTCTACCGACGGTGTTTAAAATTTAAATTTTATTATAATAAAAAATTCTTAAAAATAATCACATATAATTTTTTTATTATAATTAAAAATTTTAATATAAATTCAGATCCTAATTTAAATTAAAAATTTAAATTAATAAATTAAGCTTACTCTTTATATTTCTTGGACAGGTGGCGTTAACACGCTCTTAGTAGTTTATTAAATGGATCTAGATGCTGACACGTTCATTTATTGGAGGCCGTAACAGATGATCCAACCTTTTTTTTTAATGTGGGGGGTGTGGAACATTCAAGGATGAAAATATCCACATTTGCATAGATATTTTTGTGGAAATTTTTATATTTTAAAAGTACCACTATGAAAATAGAGATGTATATTTTTCACATAATATTTTGAAATTTTTAAGATATTTTTGTAAATATTGATATTTTAGCGAAAAGTTTTATTTTTGAGTAAAACGTAATATTAAATGATTGTGAAACGTAATATTAAATGATTGTGTATCGTAATTTTACAAAAATTTCGCAGAAATATCGCTACAATTTTCACAAACATTTTTGCAACTATATATATATATGTTACTTTTCAAAAAAATAAAAAATAAAAAATATAGTATGTCTAAAATTATATAAGAAACTATTCAAATTCCGTGCCGATATCATTATTGTCTAAATTAAAAATGTGTTCAACATACCTTTGAACCTCCTATAAACTCCTTTTGGGATTGATAATTTATCATCATGTATGAAACCATATATGTATGATTTATGTATTATGTTGACTTTCAACTACTTTACTTAATTTGTGAATGTATGCTTAGTATTTATGGTATTATAATCACAATTTACCTTGCATATTTATCAAATAATTGATATTTTGATTAATAATTTCATTTAATTAATGCATTAATATAAATTTTAAAATTTTTTAAATTCTCATTTAAAAATAAAATGTTTTAATATGAATTTTTATTTTTTACATTAATTGCCATCAATATCGATAATTCTGTAAAATTTAAGTACCAATATTTATGTAAATATCAATATTTTCATTTTGGGAGTATTCATATTTCAGACCTTAAACTAGCCACAGTAATTCTTTACAGCTAGACCACTGCGTTGAATAGTACTAATGCCTTTGGCAAACAGTACAACAGTAAAAGATGTATTTTTTTTTTTCTTTTTTGGATGGAGAGCTTTTTACGGGAGGGTATATTTCATCATATGGCCTATTTATAAACTTCAAAAATTGTTGCAACGTGGCCCTCTTTTTTATCAAATTTACTCTAAAATTTTGGTTGAATAAAGGGTGTTTAGTATGACGATTCGTGTCATAATTTAAATTATAGTTCATGACTCGTTATAATATTTTCTCTCATAAAAAATATACGTGAATCGAAAATAATTCTGAATATGTGAACTAAATATCAAGCTCAAAAATTACAATTTTTTGTGTCGTAACGGGCCCCATTAGCCGTTAGAGCGAAGCTCTCTTCACAATCTGCAATGGCCAAAGGAACGCTTAAAACTTTTGGTGTGTAACGGCGCCTATCAACCGATAGATCTAATCCTTGTTCGCGCTCTACAACCGCCACAGGAATGGCGACATCTTTTGGTGTCGTAACGGGGCCCATCATCCGTCATATCGAAGCTTTTTTCGTGCTCTACAACTGCCACGAGAATGGGGACAACTTTTGGTGTCGTAACGGGGCCGGCCCTTCAGACGTTATATCGAAGCTCTCTTCGCGTCCTACCACCACCACTAGAATGGCGACAACGTTTGGTGTTGAAACGAGGCCCATCAGCCGTTAGATAGAAGCTTTCTTCGCGCTCTACAACGGCCCCGGGATGGGCGACAAATTTTGGTGTCGTAACGGGCACCATCAGCCGTTAGATCGAAGCTCTCTTCGCGATCTACAACTAGCACAGGAACGGCGACAACTTTTTATGTCGTAACGGGTCCCATAATCCGTCAGATCAAAGCTCTCTTCCCCCTCTACAACCGCCACGAATTTAGCTACAACTTTTTGTTTCGTAATGGGGCCGGCCCATCAGAGGTTATATCGAAGCTCTCTTCGCGCCCTACCACCGCCACCAGAATTGTGATAACGTTTGGTGTTGAAACGAGGCCCATCAGCCGTTAGAGAGAAGCTCTCTTTGCGCTCTACAACCGCCCCGGGAAGGGCAACAAATTTTGGTGTCGTAACGGGGCCCATCAACCGTTAGATTAAAGAAGCTCTCTTCGCGATCTACGAATGGCACGGGAACGAAGACAACTTTTGGTGTCGTAATGGGGCCCATAAGCTATTAGATTAAAGCTCTCTTCGCGTTCTGCAACCGCCACGAATTTAGCGACAACTTTTGGTGTCGTAACGG